GTCATCCTGAAACTCGGGCTGACTTGCTTACAGAAAGTGGGCGGACACATCGGCTGCTGGGGAGAGGTATTCTACCTCGGAGCATGCTCCTTGCGCATCAACAAGATCTCTGTGGACAGCTCCCAATTCGCTTCGGCGCCGAGTCCTTTGCGGCGAGGGCGACTCCTTCAAAAATCGCTGCCATGTTTTGTAAATACGCTGTGAGCCCTCCCACTCCGCGTGCACATCCCCTTCCCTGCTCAACCTCCTGCGCTCAGACACCACTCGAAACATGCCACCTGTCCGAGGCCGCCTCCGCATCGGTGAGACCCTCGGGGACACCTACGAGAGCAACCACGGCCGCGAGAGAGGGTCGTTTCGTGATGTGCTCACCACAGGTCTCGGTACGTCGTGGTCCTCTTTCCTTGGCTCGAAGGCCACCGCTGATCGCCCTCGCGCAGTCGAGTTCACGCACGACACGTCCGCGACCATGCACTGGGCAGCGACACGCTTCCGCGACCGCGTCTTTGTCGGGCACCGCGCGAAGCTCATGGGCTGGCCCCCAGGCATCGAGTTCGCGAACATGAGCAACCTCAAGGACGCGCCAACGGCGAAGATCCGGACGCTGCTCGAGTTCTGGGAGAACGGGTGGATGTACTGGGCGGCGGCAACGCCCGGCGAGGTGCTCGCGGCGCAGGAGAGCGTGTACAACGCGCTGCCGGGCGCGCTGTTCCCGAACCCGGATGCGCCGGTGCCGCGCGCGCAGCGGAGCGACGTTGGGGCGCATCGTGCGCGTCCGGTCACGAACCCGGACAACCGCTGGCGGGTGCGCTTCCCCGACCGCCATGGGGCGAAGAGTGACCGGGTTGTCGGCGACGAGTGGCTCCTGGAGGAGGCGGGCGCGGGTGCAGTGGAGGACGGGCCGGAGGAGATCGAGGACACGGACGAGTGGGAGCGCGAGGCGTGGCGGACGCGCAGGCTGCCGAGCGGCGAGCTCGCGGACGACCTCATCGAGGAGTTCTAGAGCGTGGGTTTATCTGTTGAACGGCCGCGCTGGTTTCTATTCTACAACTCAAACTAATACACCTGGCTTTGCTTGTCTCCGTTCGGTCTGATCTAATGTGAGCGGCATCAACTCGGACTAGTAATGGTGTTCATGTACGAGCTCGAGCGAACATGCTGGCCTGAGCCTGAGTGTTGCGCACGTCGTGGTAATTCGCATAAGCGAGCGAGCATGAGGTCGAGCGGCCGTGCGAATTGGATGCACCACGGCCGGTGTTCCGCCCGTATATTATCTCGCTTGCTTGGACTAGACCGAGCATGATCAAGCCATAGATACAGCCAATTGAGCTTCCAGTTCCACAGCTCCCCTTGGAATGGATTTGGGGTGGATAGGAAGGCGGGGAGGCAGGGATACTGCCACCCTTCCTGCCCTTCCTCCCCATATTCATTCCATTGTCGGGGGGCAAGTATCAAGCGGCGGACGAGTTTAGAATTGTGAGCGCAGCAGCCGATGTCATCAGCGGGACACTCTCAAGCGGCTTAGACGGAGCTCTGAACGGCGATCTTTCCGTAAGCATGGCCGAGACCCTGGCGCTTTCACACTCATCCGCTCACTCGCCAAGATCTGTACTGACCGAGCATGTACACAGTATCTACATAGTCCCTTGCCTACCCATCCCGCCCTTCTCTCACCAAGTCTCCCCATCCAGGCCAACGTCCGAAGGATTGTCTGTAATGCAGGTAAGCAGAGGGCGACAGGGACGCCCACAATCCGAGGCAACGAGCCCGGGAGAAGCACTCGCTGCGGGAGCGCTGGGCGGAGCATCAGACAGGTCGGCTAGTTCCATCCGTGGACGCACCACCTGTTCCCTGGCCTGGACCGCAGATGCACGCATCACGGCGGCAGCGGGCGAACACCGTGCACACTCTGGCCTAGAGGGCGACCACTGTGGCGCCATGTATCGTCCCACCTCCATGTTCGCCCGTCCCCTCGTTTCCCCATCCATGCGCCGCGCCCACCAACCTGTCGAGCAAGCCCGCCGCATCCGGAACACGCTCGGGAGCGAGGACGTTGCACAGGAGCTCCGCGGCGCCGCAGAGGACGCGGCAAGGCGTCGCGTTGAGGGCCGCTGCGCCGTCGCGCCTAGAGCTCTCGCACGATCCGCCTGAGGAGCAGCAAGGGTCGCTGCAGCTGGGAGCACAGACGAGGTGAGCACGACGACATCTTCGGCGAACCCCAGATAAGACTCACCCTCGCCGTTCTGCTTCAGATGTTCCCTGCCGCGTCGCGCGAGCTCCAACACGTCACAGGCCGACAGCCACGTCGAATTGTCCCGGACCCTCCCAGCCGTTCAGCCCACGCACACACCGCGCACATCGAGGCTTTTGAGCCTAGTCGCCTCACCCGAAGTGCGCCTCGTCACGAGCACGCCACGGATGGAGGCTCGGCGAACAACACGTCGGCGGGTTGGGACGGGAAGGGCTCCGCAGAGCGCCAGAAAACGCTGCGACGCAGCGCGATGACGACCCTACGTTGTGCCTGGGGCTCTTGCCCGATCTACCCAGGGATCGGTGAGGTTTACTGCAATTGAGACGACATGACGAGGTGAGGACGACGACTTCTTCGCCGTGTTCCAGATGAGACTCACCCTCGCCGTCCTGCTTCAGATATTCCCTGCCGCGCGACGCGAGCTC